TGTATTCACACAAGTGATCCTTTAGATACAGCATATTTCTTCCAAACAACAAACATTTTAGCACACTTTTCCACCAACATAGTGTTTATTCTTCCAGACAAACATTTCAAGACTTAGTACCAATGTAAAACTAATTTAATCTCCAAAAATATGCAAAACCCACCAGGAGAGGACATAAATGTTAGAAAAGTAGTGCAGATTTTTTAAGTTTTTAATTATTCTTTCATTTTCTTATTACCTTGCCTTAGCTCATGCCATACTTTTTCTCATGCTGATTTACAGAATCTGAAAAAGAAGGTAAAAGAACATATTCTGAAGGCAGGAAATGTGGAACCTGCTGATTTTATAGAGGAAAAATCAAAACATTTAGCTATCTATTGACATTTTAAGGGAGTTCACATCAAAATAAGAGTCAGTCTGGCATTCAAAGAACTTTGTCTCTTTTTGTTTGTGTGGTTGGTTTTGCTTCCTAATATTTGGGGAGGGGGATAACTTAAAAAAAAAAAAAGAAGTGTTACACCATGATGGCTTCTCCCATGCTTTTGTATTGTACCAATGTACAACTAGACAGTATTATGATGCTCCAGTGTGTTATTTAGTAGCCCTTTAGCAAATGTCCCCTGATCCACACTCCTCCTTCCCTGCCCACATGCATTTGGCCCACTTCAGCTTATCACTTAGCAGATGTTTCAGCATCCTGCTGTCATCCATCCTCCGCATGTATCCAGGCCAGTGGAGCTACATTAAAGTGAGCAGGGCTTCATTGCAGGGGAATTGGCTGCTTGCCAGGACTTCATTATTAGTGATCCTTCTTACTGCTCATGTTTCAGAGGCTCTTGGGTGACACTGAATCATGTTTTCAAGAAATTCAATGGAAACTTATGGTAAGCCTACATTTCATGGCCTCTGCTCTGTAGATGCCAAGCTAGGGCTGGTGACAAGCATGGCCCTGTACAAAGCAATAGTGTATGCAGATAACCTGCTTTTCACATTCTATATAGTAACTTAACAAAGGTAATGGTGAATGCCTCTTCTCAACAGAGGAAAAATGCCTCATCAAGATCCTAATAACATTATGTTATACTACTATCACATTGAAGACCTCTTTTCCAAGAGGAACTAGGGTATTGGTACCTCTCCATAAGAACCAAACATCTGTTTTCAAATTTCTTAACAACCAAGAAGCTCATATTTTAGTGGGACAGTGTCATCGTCTTTTATAATAATTTAAACTCATTAGCAAAGTTAGGGGAAAATGTGGCAGAAAATAAAATTAAATAGAAACCTATTCTGAATTCATTTCTTGCTTTTAAAACAAATGAAAATGAAGACCAGAAAAGCAGAAATAGAATTTTTGAAGTGCTTTTTTTTTTCTATAATTTGGTTGTATAGGGAAAAAAGACTCATAAATAAATTCTGTATTCTCGTCCCATAATCTGGTTTGTCTACTAGATACCTTGATGATCGCATGCATTAGGCAACAGAATTTAAATAATGTTAACTATGAAAATCTTTCAGCATTATCTATTCTAATGTACTTATATTTAGTATAAGTTAGAGAGATCCTTCTCTTGACCGCTATCTCATCCTTCATAGGAGTTTCTCTTCACCTTCCAGAAAGATGGAGGACATACCACATCTGCTTGCCCAGAACTATATTTGTCACATTATTTTCAATTTCCTATGCTTTTCTCTCCATTAAAACTTGAATCTTTGGACACAGGAAGTCTTGTCTCAATAGTCACTGCCAGTATTTGGTACATAGTAGGCAATCAACAAATATTTGGAGAAACAGAAGGACATGTTCATACTCTACTGTACATCTGCAATTTGCGCACATTTCAGAAGCTAAAAGTTACCACGGTTTCCTTAGAGTGATAGTAAATATTTTATGCAGCTCAGCTTCACAACTCATCCAATTTATCCACATTTGTGTTTAACACACACTTCGAAACAATACACAGAAGTTAAAAGCACTATTATACATAATGGTAAAATTTCTGATTCAGACAAAGACAAATTAAGTCCCTTACAGTCATCAGCAGCTATGGTACTTTGGGTAAGTCACTTGGCCTCTCTTAGCTCAAGTTTCCATATCTATAAATAGGATGATAATTATATCCTACATGGTTACTCTGAAGATGAAAAAGATAATTCTTGTAATGGCTTCTAAATCACACCAGAAAATATAAATCATAATGAATATTTCATTTCTCTTCATGCTCAACTCTAAGTATCAAGTAAAGCATTGTGAAGTCTCTGAGAGTGAGACCTGCCTTGTTATTAATATGGAATATTATTTCCAATAATTAACTATTTGCCCCTCATATCTTAACTGTTCCTAGTGGATATTATAAATGCTGCAACAGCTACAGATTTTCATAGTATCATTTATTTCTGCTTTGGTTCTGAACTGCTAATGACAAATGGAGAATTAAAGCATAAAGTAATTTAATTTTCAAACTAAACAGAATTAGGGGACTAAGCATGGTTCTTTAGCTTTTAATGAGAAAAACTGGTCTTTAGATAGAGATGTGTTAAATGATTAGTTTATGAAGAATGTATTTACCAGGAATTTAATATGCACATCAGGGTTCCTTTCTAGGTATTCACTTGGCCAGAAGAATAATGATTCTGTCTTTCTCTTGCTTGATAGCAGTGTGGCTGTGCCTCTAGCAGATTCATGCTGTTTAACTCTGCATATTCACTATCTGTGAAAGGCTGGTCTCCAGAATGTTAACTCACATTTACAATGTTTGCAGTACAGGAGTGAATCTTTAAAAAGACTTACTGCCCCATTCACCACCCATTCTATTTCATAAAATGGAACACGCAAGTGATTCAAAGTCACATTTGTTCTTCAATTCAGAAGGAAAGTAGCACATTTCTAAAAGCAGATGTCTTGAATGGAGGAAATAATTGTCTAGGTCATTCACATAAGATCTAATTAAAAAATTGTTGCTTTACCATCCTAAAGGGTGCATATATTTTTCAATCACTATTTTTCAATCACAAGTCAATGTTACTTTTGACTTGTGACACTTGGAAAGGAGACACAGCAAAGAAGATAGTTTCAAATAGTGAGGTCAAATCTCACAGTAGAACAGATTTTTTTCAGCACTGAATGTATCAATGGTATAGTCACAAATTAACCCTGATCAAAAGCAGCACAAACTTTGTGCCTCCTTTTCTCGAGGTGGATTTTCTCACTCTTCGTATTTTGCAAATTGCAAAGGAATGGAGTTGGAACTGAAAAAGTCATAGAAAAGTGGAAAAGTGGATTACATGTAGGCACAAGAATGCCAAATTCTGAGATTCTGATGGAGTGAATATCAGCCCCTGGAAAGGGGTCTTAATAAAGGGCAGCTGTGCATGCAGTGCAGTCTCCATGTGGTACACTTTCTAAAATAATTGCCTCTGGGATAAGAAAGCCAATCCAGCCATTTATTTCCAAATTTCTAGACCGACCTTCTAAACTAGAGTCCCTTGATATGCCTGGATGGAGCTTCTAACAAATATAATAGTTTTACCTCCACTTTGTATGTTCTGTAATTGGAAATGCAAGGAATACAGTAAACCAGGATAGGTTGTTAAAAAAAAAAACAATATGGTTGTTGGATCAGGGGAGGGAAAAACTCTTACAGAGGATAGTCAGGACTGGCCTTTTTGAAAATGTGACAGCTGAGTTGTACAACAGAGTAGGGCCACAAGCACTACAATGACCCCTGTGCGGGCCCTGAAGCTGCATATGGTTTGCTTTGTCTGGAGTAGAGTGAGAGAAAGGTCAGCATGATAGGGTCTGGTCTCCTAATGCCTTGAGTTCTTAGTAACCAGTTAATTAGGAAATCTTATAGCAGAATAAAATATTTTATTTAGGACTTTCATTGTATTAAACCATGTTTTAAACATTCCACTCCAGAAACTCATATTTTATTAACATCTGTTTAGTCTGTTTTTAAAATTCCAGTCTCTTATTTGAATCACATGTTTCAAAATTTACTTCCTTCCGGCAGCCTATGCTGGAATATAGTTCCTCTACAATGTTAAGGAGAACAGAGACAGGAGGGCGAAAAGGACAAATGACTTTCAGGCCCCTCACAGCCAAACTCTCAGTATTTTTCTGAAAATACTGCTGACCATCAGCCTCCAGGTGGGAGGTACTGTCTTGCTGGCTCCTGCACACTGCATGTGACATTACTTTGGAGGCCTTGCGGGTCCTCCCTGCTGCCCAGGTTTCTGATTTGGGAGTTTGGATTCCTATTTAGCCCCCTTTAGTCTACCTGCCACAGTGGGAATGCAGGCTCTAGGAGGGCCAGACAGCCATAACTCAAATTGATTTTTTTTTCACCTTCCAAGAAAGATTCAGAGGAAGCACACAAGTTTACTGACTAGATAGATATCCAAGAGAGAAGCTGAAGGCCAGTTGCCCTTCATAGTGGCAATATCAATGATCACCTTGCAGGCTACCATCATTTCTTTGGGGGAGCTCCATGCTTCTTGCAGCAAACAGAGCATTCTCCATAGGTACGATGATATTGAGGTGAACCTTGTTCTTTTAGTTAGTTCTAAGTGTACATACTGGGGAGGGGAGAAGGGGAAATGGTGGCTGTTTTGGCATTTGGTATCTCTAACAACATCCAAAATGAAGAGATCAGGTTTTTGGTTTTTTTTTTTTTTTTTTTTTTTTTTATGGGAGGAGGGCAGCCAGGATTGAACTCAGGGGCACTCAACCAACCACTGAGTCACATCTCCAGCCCTATTTTGTTTACTATTTAGAGACAGGGTCTCACTGGGTTGCTTAGTGCCTCACTGTTGCTGAGGCTGGCTTTGAACTTTCATTCCTCCTGCCTCAGCCTCCCAAGCCACTGGGATTATAGGCATGCACCTCCTTGCCTGGCAAGATCAGGCAAATTTAACATGAAATCACACTTGATAAATAATAGGTATACTCTATAATACAATAGGAGTACTGTGGACTTTAAAATAATTGACCCATGTTCAATTGTGTCTTTTGGAAGAGCTAAATTCATTCAGTGCTTTAGTTGCTAAATATGTAAATATGGGGAAAATAATAGAATCCCATCTCAGAGAATTGTTGTGAAAAATAGATGAGTTAATACTTCTATAGCATTTGTAAGAGTATTAGCATTCACTGAGTAAGACTCAGAAAGTCTTGGATTATTAAGCTTTCTGATCAATAGTGATTTTTACACACTTTATTTTTAGATTTTTTTTTCTGCTTTAATAAAACTTAATTGACACATAAAATTATATATATTTATAGTG